GCAAAGGTGGAATGCACTTCAACAGTAACCCTTATGGTATCCCTTTTAAGGAACCCTCTACAGGAACCCTAAGGCTTGTATAGTGGGTTGATTGGGTTTTGGTACGGTGTTTGTTTAAGTACAAGCAATCCCCTGGGGATTGGCAATGGCTCCTGCGGATTTAGGGCTCAGGCGCCTGTAGCATGTAGCGTTTAGGGTTCGGGGTGCAGGGTTTAGGGAATTAGGGTTTAGGGATTGAGGGTTTAGGGTTTAGTAAACCCTAAACCCTAAACCCAAACCCTTGTGAACAAAAGGGATTCAGGGTTTAGGGTTTTATACTTGGCCTTTGCACACGAGTCGCCTCATCGCTTAAAGTGGTGGGTGGTCGGTATCGGTTGTTGCAAGTCTTTCCCGGTAGAGTCGCTGCAGACCGGACGCAAAAGGCTTTAGGGTTGGAGAACAGTAAATGGGTGACTCGCCCGGCGTGTCCCAGTTGCGAGAGTCGAAAGCCCGAAAGTCCCACACCCGCAACCCTGCAGCCCTAAAGCCCTTCACCCTATCAATCCAAAGAGGAGAGAGAGGTTTACGGCTTCAGATTGAAACTCCGTGCTATCCTCCGCTATTCATATATTCATATATAAATAAATAAATAAATAAATATATATATATATAGAGAGAGAGAGAGGGGTATGTATGTTTATATGTGTATGTATACTCTAACCTATCGTCATGTATGGTATCTTCCCCAACTAAAGAACAATTGTTGGATTCTTTGCACACTTGTAAGGACCTGTCGAACTGCCTCTGGGCCGCTGCCAGACTTCGCGAAAGATCTCCGGAGGTGCTTAAACCCCCTAAACCCTAAACCCCTAAACCCTAAACCCTAAACCCCTAAACGCTAAATCCCTAAACCCTAAACCCCTAAACCCCTAAACCCTAAACCCTTAAACCCTATATCAATCGTCAATGCCAAGCGCCTAGACCCGGAACCGGGGAATCCCTATGTAAACCCACTTGGAGGCTCATGGGTAGTTATAATTAGGGTTTTTGAGTAGGGTAAGTGTACTTATAACCCATATTAGGGGACTTATAACCCCATTTATAACTACCCAGGAGCCGCCTAGTAGCCTAGATGACGAGGTTTTGAGCCCCCTGATGCATGCATGCATGTATGTGTACAAACACATGTGTTTTTGCGTGCATGCGTACCCTTAAACCCTAATAAACCCTAAACCCTAAACCCTAAACCCAACCCTAATAAACCATCATGTAGGTCCAGCAAGGGAGTCGGAACGGGAGTATTCTTGGAGACGGAAGGCCTGAAAGTGTGTAGTCCTTGCTTATGTTCGGGGCTTATGGGGCTTACCATCTCGGGTTTAGTAAGAGGATGTTGAGGATCCCTAAACCCTAAACCCTTTTTTTATGTCTGGGGCTTATAGGGCTTGCCTCCTTGGGTTTAATCAGAGGTTTGTCTATGCAGGATTATGTTGAGGATGGTCTGGGGTCGACGGCTTCGGGCTTACAGTTTGGGTGTATGTTTCTGTTTGAAGGGTTTATGGGTTTAGGGCTTTGGGGTTTAGGGTTAGGAGTTTAGGGTTTAGGGAAAAAGGGTAGGTTTACTGGAAGCTTGATGCAGCCTCCGCGTCTTGCAACTGCTTGGTAAGACCTGTCTACATCCTACAAGCACATGTCCTCAACTAAAGCTGCCGAGAGGGTCCGTGCGCGTTGCTAACGATTATGGAACCCGGTCCCCAAAAATCATGATTGCAATGGTTTTTTAAGTCTTTGTGGTTTCATTCCATGATGGTAGCACCTAGTAGTAGAGTAGGTAACCTTCAAGCTTTTCGGCGTATTATAATCCCTATATAGTCCCAAAGGTTAACCTTTGATCCCCTAGGATACTGGACAAGTAGGAGTATCTTCGGACCCTTACATACCCCTTATATAGCCAGGTAGTCTCCCTATTAACCCCAATAACCTACAAGGGTCCCTATTAAGGGTCCCTCCTAAAGCCCTTAGAATGATGGTAGTATCTTCGGACCCTTTGGGCTCTGGAGCCAGGTGCTACAGGCTGTGGGCGCAGTGGTTGTGGAGATTCCCAAGAAGGCACATGGGTAGCTCTCTAAATCAGGGTCCCTTTTAAAGTGGGTTTTCTGAGACATCTATCTGGTCACTTGGTGTGCTTTCCGGTCCTAAACCCTAAACCCTGAACCCTAAACCCGAAACCCTAAACCCTAAACCCTAAACCCTGAACCCTAAACCCTAAACCCTAAGTTCCCTCACAGCCATGCTCCTGCACATGCATCAACGACCAGCTGCAACCTCAATATACTTGGTCGCCATTCGAATGCCCATGGAGCCCAACACCTCTGAATCAAGGAGCATACCTTAGATCACATTTGGCTTCGTAGTATGGCTTAAGTTATGTCCCTCACTTTTCCCATGTCAACCGGACGCTGGAGTCTTATCTTACCGGTTCCACAAGCCCCTGTCCAGCTAAAACGCTGGAGTCTTAACTTACCGGTTCCACAAGCCCCTGTCCAGGTAAAACGCTGGAGTCTTAACTTACCGGTTCCCCAAGCCCCTGTCCAGGTAAACTACATGATCCCTAGAGAGATTGCAAGCTGCTGGGTTGTCTTTTGGGATCTTTTTTGATTTCCCTTACTATTGTGTAGAGAACCATGATAGTAAATAATTTTCAAAGGGCTTAAAGGACAACTCAGGCTGTCTTTGGGCGGCCGCGACGTTGCGAGACTCTGCTCCCGAGGTGGCTTGAAGGTTTCAACTGTGAGGTTTCAAGAATATGGGGAGTTTCCAGAAATCAGGGGTACCTTATTTTGGGGTCCTTATTATAATGGTCCTACTATTTAGGGTACTATATTAGGGTCCCCTATTTTCTGAAACTCCCATATAGTTGCTTGTCTCTGGATCCGTCTCGTTGGCCTGTTGCCTGTGAGCTTTTGGTGTGTTTTTGGTGTAGCATCGAAAGGTTACGGTCCAATATAGCAGCCTCAACAACTATCAATGCTTTCCTAGGGTTCCTTATTATAGCTGTAGTGCAGTGTACCCCAAAACCCTGTTCTGATTATTCAGGCTCCTGTATTATGCTATTGGATTTGGACAGTCAGGATGTTGGATTTCCAAGATCCTACCCGGCTGACCATAGAGAGAAACACTTGGTGTAAGTATGCCCAACGGGTTTAGGGTCTAGCCGTTATGGTTACAAGGGTTCCGAGGTAGAAGTATCTTGCCAAGACAAAAGTTCAATATGGAAACACGAATAATGGCTTCCTGGCAGGTGATGCGAGCAGTTGAGGCACTGGCGCTGGCTGTGCCGGAGCAGGCGGCGCAATCTGGTTTGATGGGGGGGGAGAAGAAGCCTGTTTTGGGGGTCCTTTAGAAACTCCCACATTGCCAGCTGGAAAGACAATCTGGCGCGATGCCAGACTTGGACTTGCTCCTCACGATACTTCACCAGAAGGTTCAACGTGTTTGCATAGCTTCATGCAGATATTGTGTTCTATCTGTTATGGCCATGTGTCTCTTGTCACATTCACCGATGCCGTCTCATACGCAGATCCAACACTGTACGTAGCGTCAGTGTCTGGATGGTAACATTGCTGGGTCGGTTTCATTTTCCTCAGCTTGAGATTTGTTTTCCCAATGCCGCAGCGGTGACCCCATGAATCAGACGTACCTGGTCCTGTTTGTTCATGAGTTAGATTCGATGCTCGGGCGTTGGAATTCTGATTATGTATGGGACTATCAGGGGGATGCTCGACATCTGGCCCCGACTGGCTGTTCCTCACAGATAATGCGCCAAGACTTGGCAACGAAGCTTGCTTCCAAGCTTCCGAGTGTTCTGAACACAGGTTCTGAAGGATCCCGATCGACATCTTAGAGATACTACGGAGCTCAGAACCTAACATGGCAGGTGGTTTGGGCTACAGGTAAGCTCAGATCCAGAGCATAGGAGATCCTTGACGGTGACTTTAGGCACATCTAACAGTTGGAGGCTCCAAGCGATGACATATTTAAGGTTTAAGGTTTAGGCGTTAGGGCTTTAGGGTTTAGGGTTTAGGGGTCAGAGTTTCCGGAGGAGAAGGAACATGCGCAGCAAAGAAGGTGACTAAATGGGCATAAGCCGCAAAACTTACATTTTCTGGGGAAATTACAAAGAGGGAGTCTGCTATAGCCCGCCGACAGTACCACATGTCCTCAGCATGTCAGGTGGGCCACTTCAACTGCCAAGACTTGGCGAACAGCTTGTGGGCTTCAGCTCATCTTCGCAGTGCGGTGCCGCAGGTGCAGGGAAGAAGGACACCAAACAAACCCCCAGCCCCAGAATCCCTAGAATGCCCAAGAACCGAAATACTCAGGGATCTAGCTCGCTTCTGAAGACTGTGCACGACGGAGAGGGCGAGGGAGGTTTCGGTAGGTGGTGACTAGGATGTTAATCAGGAGTTTTAGGTGCTAGGATTTCGGGTCGTTGGGGTTTGGAGGATTTAGGCTTTAGGGCTTAGAGTCTATAGAGGTTAGGGTTTGGGGTTGCGGGTTTTGGATTTAGGGTTCAGTTTTAGGGATTGTTTGATTATCTGACGGTTTCCTTGTCCCGAGAGCACCTGGCAAGGTGGTAAAGTCAAAGCTGATCCTGCGGGAACACGGCGTTGGGTACCAATTTGGGATTATTGTCCACTACCCTTATTGCTTGATGTTGGACCGTAACAATAACTAGTTTTAGAGACCGTTGAAATCGGCACACACTGTGACATGATAATTACAAGTTTTGCATGGTGATCCTTGACTTGGACATCCCTGAACCCTAATATAGGGATCTTCGGACCTTTATAATTTTAATAGGGTTTTGGGGTATATTATCCTATAGCTATGAGAAGGACCCCCCAAAATAGTATAGATAATTATTTAGGCCTCTCTATTAACCCTCTAAGCTTCGCGCTCCTGTGCGTACCATAAAGGAGATATAGAGCTACTTGGAGGCCCAGGGGACTTAGTAAGTAGGTTATAAGTAGAGTTATAAGTACCCTAACTGGAGTTACCTACTTATAACTTGGGTACTGCCCCCCAACTCAGTAACAGTTGGATAATATTTATATTATGGATGTATTAGGTCCTTAATAGTAGCCCTTTTATAGACTGTTACTGTATGGGGGCAGTACCCAACTTATAACCGACTCACTAAGTCCCCTAGGCCTCCAAGTAGCCAGGAGGTTTTGGGTTTTGGGTTTGCGGGCATCATGGCGGGTGTTCAGGGTTAGGGTTTACGACACAGACCTACCTTTTTAGGGTTCCTGTTGATGGTTTCTATACATACGGTTCCTTAGAATGGTAGGTTATTTTTGGGTTAAGGCCGGGTTTAGGCGCATCCTTGATTTTTTTGTTTCAATGTCCCTCAACGAAGCCCCTAAACCCAAAACCCCAAAACCCTGAACCCTGAACCCTAAACCCTGAACCCTAAACCCTAACGCCTTCCGGCAGGTGCTTGGGGCAATACCGGCGATGACGGAGCAGGTCCCAAAGCTGACTTCCAGGACCTCCCCTGCTGAGAAGGTTTAGGGTTTTGGGTTTAGGGTGTTTAGGGTTTAGGGTGTTTAGGGTTTAGGGTTTAATTTAGAGGCAGGTGCAGAATTTCCTGCAGAAACGGGGGGAGTAACTAGTCCCATTAGCCCAGCATACTCCCTTGTAGAAAGGGGGGAGGTGGCGGGGGTCGTGGGGGTATGTTAGAGCATCCACGATATGCGCCCACGGCCCTGTTCCAATGTTTAAGGCCCCAGATTGTCGTCTCCAATGTAGTTCATTGTTTGGTTAATTGCCTTGCTGCTGTATTGTAGGATCCTAACCGAATAAGCCACCCAAGACGGGAATTAAACTGTATACTGCACTTTAAACACCAGTTAGGCTTCTTGCACTACGCATCTTACAGGCCAAGATCTAGTGTTTATTTTTGCTAGCGGTGTGAAGTTCACATTCTTGAGGGTAGTTATCTTAACTTCAGAAGCGCAGTGGCACATATATTGGATTGACCAATAGCCACCCTTAGACCCATAGCCCAGGTGTCTGTTGCATAGGTTAATGGGCTCCTGACGTTGTTCAAGTCGCTAGCTTGAGGTTCACGCTCCTTTACATGATCGCCTTAGTGTTTCGATCTGTCCTGAGATGACAGCACAGATTCCGGACAGCCGTGTTCATGTTGTTGATGCCATGGTCTTTGGGAACCTGGTCGGGTGAACCCCAAGAAGGGGAGCTGCTGAACCTCAACGGTGATGTTCGGCATCCGAGCGCAACCGGCAGAGGTTGCCAAGCGCTGCTTATCTTGGAATCCCAAGTCTTGGAAACTCTATGTGAAGGAATCAAACACGCTCTAGAACCCCCCGCCGCCCGCCTCAACAAAAAGTACCCTACACTGGAAGCTTCGCCGGTCAAATCCTGGCGGCCTACGTGAAGAATAGGATTTGGTGGTACATTATTCCAGAATTACAATGGGAAGCTTCAGGAATGGTACTTGTTCTTATTAGTAGTAGAACCAGTAGTAGTAGTAGTAGTAGTAGTAGTAGTAGTAGTAGTAGTAGTAGTAGTATGCTTATGAATACTATTGTTAGCTCTGCAGGCTTCCGTCTTGCGGCCGCGGCTTGTCCTGGCATGACTACGCAAGTAAGTCGGGCTGAGAAGCTGTCCTTGGTATCATGTCAGCTTTCGCTGCAGCCTTCTTCTACTGCCAGAATCCTCCTCTAGCTCCGCGTGTTCCTGAATGCTATGAGACATTCCATGATCCTAAACGGTAATTCTTGAACAAAGGAACCAAACCGCTGGCGTTTTGACTGTTGAAGCTTCGCACAGGATGCGGCCCCAGCATTTATCCAACTGCCTCTGGGCCGCCGCCACACTCCAGGACTTTGCCCCGGAGGTCGGGTACGGACAAAATTTGGGGGCTTAGGGTTCATGGGGTCTTTGTGTGTCTTTAGGGTTCAGGGTTCAGGGTTCATGCGGTCTTTGTGTGTCTAGACTCTAGACTGGGCTAAACTGCACAGTGACACGGAGAATGGGCGAGCACAGCACCAAGTCTATTGATGGACACATGTACACAATGCAACGCATGCCCCCCCCCCCCACACGTACATACATACATACATACATACATACATACATACATACATACATACATACATACATACATACATACATACACACACACACACATACACACGCGTGCGCACAGATGCGTGCAGACATTGATTGCTGTGTCAAAGTCTGAGCTTATGTCTTCGCAAGCCACAAAGCCACAAAGCTATCAGAAAGCAGCAAAGATGTTCCGCTTGTTCGCCAATTCCAGAGTCCCCTTAACCCTAAACCCCAAAACCACAAGATTTGGCCTCTGTCTCAAACCAGGCGTCCCCCCCGCAGGCGAGCACATGAGTGCCCTTTCCGCCCCGGTAGTGTACTTCCAGCTCGCGCTGGTTACCTAAGTCTTGAGTTTGGGGTTTAGCGTGTGCTGCAGGGGAACCGGGAACCTGGCCGAGCGAGCTCCAATCAAGCCTGTGTTCAAAAAAAGGCTTTAGGGGTCTTATTCACGGGTATGTGCCTTCCTGTGTTTTTTTACGTATTCAGCAATGAATCTTCTTCTTCTTCCGAGCGGGATACCAGCTGAAAGCCTAAACGTTGGAATAGAAACCTCATGGTATTCCCGAAACCCTAAACCCTAAATAGGACCCATCAAGGAACCTTTACCTGGTGGATCCTCTGAATGTTCATCCTCGAAGCTCGAGGTGCTTGCAGTCGTGGATGCCCTGGCAGAGCGTAGCCCGGCGGATTTAACCAGGGCGGCGGTAATATAGGAGCATAAAATAATTACCTAGGTTATTTTTTGGGGCGTCTTATTATAATTATAGCATAATATACGCATCCATATACGCCAATACCCTATTCTAATTATTAAGGCTTCTACATTAAAGGCTTCTGGCAGCTGAGTATTCAGACGTGCGCTGCTTTGGTTCCGGTTAGTTCCTGCTCTGAGTCATTCGTACCGGTCCGTGGCCCTCATCCCTTTGCTACAGGAGCCTGAACAATCACCATTATTATTCCTGAGGGTTCCTCAATGTACCTCTTCGATAGTACACCCCAAACCCCGTTAAACTTGGTAAAAGCCCGACACAAAGCCAGGTAGCAACCCTTATAGCGTTATAGTAACCCATAGTCTAGCCCTATGCACACCCCTTCTTATCATAAAGGAACCCGAACCCCTAAACCCTAAACCTAAACCCTAAACCCCCTAAACCCTAAACCCTATACACTAAACCCCCTAAGCCCCAGATTTTCCGAAGTCGGAGCTGCGAGCTGGCTGCAAGGCATCCCTGAGAAGGTCAAAGACTTCAATGCTCAAGAGATGTCGATGTGCCTCTGGGCGGCCGCAAGGCCGACTTTGAGATATAGGGGTACGACAAAACAATTTCATCCCTCTTGAAATATAGATTACTATATTAGCGGTACGAAATATTTAAAATCCCTACAAACCCTTACTCATTCCAACCTCAGTTCATGTTTTTGGTAGGTCCTACGGTTTAGTTTAGCGTTCGGGGTGTCGGGACTTGAGTCCAGTAGCCAAGAAAGGGTTAGATTGCCTGGTTTGCAGCTCCTGGCTTGGATTAGTGCAAAAACGAAAGGCCGAACTTGAGACGTGCATAAAGATTAATATATTTGTGTATATATATATATACACAAATATATATATATATATATATATATATTTTATTTATTTATTTGTATTTATTGTTTTTATTCATTTATTTATTTCATTACATGTGTATATATATATATATATATATGTGGGGGTACCAAGTTTCTAATTCCTACAAAAAACCTTGTACTCATCAAAAAAGCCCTGAACCCTCTAAGGCCGCGACGCTCCAAGAAGCCACGCCTGGAATCCTCGAAGCAGTGCCTGCCCTGGCCAAGAGCATTCCGGGGCAAGCCAGCAAGATGAACCCTCAGGATCTTGGGGTCTAGGAGGTTTAGGGCTCATAGGGTTCATAGTTCCTAGGGTTTAGGGCTTCTGGGGTTTAGGGCTTATGGGGCTTAGGAGGATCTAAGGCCTTAGGGTTTAGGGCTTATGGGGCTTAGGGTTTCTAGGGGTGAATCCTCAGGATCTAGGGGTTTAGGGTTTATTGGGCTTAGGGTTTCTAGGGATGAATCCTCAGGATCTAAGGGTTTGGGGTTTATGGGGCTTAGGGTTTCTAGGGATGAGCCCTCAGCATCTATGGGTTAATGGCTTATTGGGCTCAGGGTTTCTCGGGATGAGCCCTTAGGGTTTAGGGCTTATGGGGCTTAGGGCTTCTAGGGATGAACCCTCAGGGTTTAAGGTTAGGGTTTAGGGCTTATGGGGCTCAGGGTTCATCACAGTCATGAGTACTGTCTTGTGGGTCAAGCTGGGCAGTAAGGGCAGCAGTCGAGTCCCTTGTGGAAAGAGGGATTATGGGGCTTAGGGTTTCCAGGGTTTCGGGCTCATAGGGTTCATAGTTCCTAGGGTTTTGGGTTTATGGGGCTCTGGGTTTATGGTCTATGGGGTCCATAAAGGTTAGTGTTTGAAGGTTTAGGGCTCATGATAAGGTTTAGGGTTTCTACGGGGTTTATGAGGTTCAGGGTTTATAGGGTTTCGGGTTTCGCGCTCATAAGGTTTCAAGGATCTTAGTAGTAGAGTAGGTAACCTTTAACGTTTTCCTGGTACTATGCAACCTTAAAGCTTAAACTTGAATTCTGCGGGGATACCGGACATGTAGGGGATGGGTTTCGGACCCTGAAACCCTGTACGACGGCCTTACAGATCGGAGGTGGATGGAAAGATGGAAAGACAGATCGATAGAGCCTTTCGTAAGATTTTGGGCCCCAAAGGGCGGGTGGATATATCTGCATCTTATGGCACGCTGCTTATGCAGTGAATTCTTAGCCGGATCCGTAAATGCACACCCTAAAAACGCAGAACCCTAAAGCCCTACATTCCCCACTTCTGACTTGGTTTTGACTCTATGGTTTGTGGTTTCCGTGTGACTTCGGGAGTTGGGATGCAGTCTTTCGAGTGCCAACTTGGGGCCACACGCGCCTCCACTGCGAACCATGCACCAACCTCGCCTGCATTGCCCGAGTTGCGAGAGTCTAAAGCCCTACATAAGCCACTAAAAGCCCTAAAGACCTAGTGTGAGCGTCGAAGAAAGCTTTGAACTCTAAGAAAAGCAAAAAAAGACCCCGAACCTCCCTAAGCCGACAGCAGGACCTTTCGAGCTGTCTCTGGGCTGCAGCCAACCTCGAAGCCACTGCACCTGCGGCGTTGCAGGCCCCAGGGGTTCAGGGTTTATGGGGTTTAGGGTCAGAAGCCGCTGTAGGTGGTCCTAGCCTAGAGGGTCCACATTCCCCAGAACCATAAAAGAGATGGTCTTTCAGCACCCAAAACCATCAAAACCATCATGGTAGTATATACGGACCCTCTGGGGCATGGTAGTGGCCCTTAGAAGCCGTCTAAGTCCTGAGCCCTAACCCCTGAACCTCCTATAACCACACAAAGAAGGACATAAAGCTTTGAATCCTGACTCGAGGAAGGTGGGATAGAGCCTGGTATTTTCCGAGGTATGAAGGACCCGTTCCCGACAGAACTACTAGTCTTGTTAGGGTTTAGGGTTTAGGGTTTAGGGAGGTGTCCTCTTGAGCGAAGGCGAGCCACGCACGTTCAATCCCAGTTCAACAGTAGAATTCCTAGAGCGAGTGCCTGCATGCATAGTTGGACCGACTCACCATGTTCATATATGGATATGAAGATGTGGCTACATGTGTTTTCAGGAAGTGCTAGCGACAGACAGAGAGAGTAAGCAGATGTTGAGGCCTGAGGCAATTCCGTTAGACGAAGTCAAGTTTGCAATTGATGTGCCTCAACAGCATCATCATGTCCCCACACAGCCCCAGAAAGTAAGGGGGGTCCTGGTCCTGGCGTCCGGGGGACCTACGCAGTCTCTCACGTCCTGGAGAAGAAGAGAGTAAAAAGGAATAACTAAAAATCCTGGGCCATGAGCCTTGTTGCCAGGGATCCTCAATCAGGCAACTATTTGTGCGTTTAGCTCGCTGCCAGGTGGTGCCCGCCATTGCACAGCGCATACCGGACAGTTCCATGAAGTTCAATTCACAGGCAGGGTTTTGCACCATTTTCAGGTTTTCGGCAGCGCTTTCGAAGCAATTTCCGTGCTGTTTGGATTCCGGGATGCTAAACTGCTAAACCCTAAACCCTAGATTCGGCTTTTTTTTGCCTGAAAGAAGCGGTTTGTTGTTTGGTTTTAGGGTTTTAGGGTTTAGGGCTTTAGGGTTTTAGGGTTTCAGGGTTTAGGGTTTAAGGCCCATAAACCTAAACACGAGACCCTAAGCCTGGAACCCATTATACTATAGTTATATATAGTAAGGAACCACCAAAATTAGTCTTGGGTAGTATTTGTTTTAGGAGACGGCGCCTCTACGG